TTATTTTTGTACTTATTTTGAAGACACGTAAACTAATGGCAAAAAAAAAATTAGAAAAGCTTTGCTTGAGAGTAGCCCCTCTCAGTCTATCCCATAAGAAAATTAAACCCTAATGTCCCAAGACATCCACTGTGTGTGGTGAGTTAACTTCTCTCCCTTGCATCTGCATGGACTAGCTCTGTACCGTTTTTGGTGGAGTGGACAATATAGTTATTCATGTAATTTTTGTAGGGCTTAATTTTTCTAGTGGAACTCTCGTGAGGAAAAGTTGCTTAGAATATAAATTGTATATACTTTAAAATATAGTTTGACATATAAATCATATCACTGTATTTATAGAAAAGTAAAAATTAGGTCCGTGCTGATTCTTACCCGTGTTACTGAGATAAGATTTCTGCCAAGTCATACTTGGTTTTCCCTACTCTAGCTGTTTCCTCTCCTACTACTGACGTTAACCAGTGTTAGTGATACAGTGTCTGGTCCTTATGAAAAGTAAAAATAATAATGATTCTGGTGATAGAAAATACTGTGTTAAGCACCTCCTGTTACGTGCTCATTTAATTTTCACCTCAACCCTATGAGGTAGGTGTGCTACTTTCATGATTCTGTGAAAAGAACAAAGGCATGGAAAGAGTGTAGAACTTGCCAGGGTCAAAAAGTTAGAGGTCATTGAGCTGTGATTTGAACCTAGGTGGTCTGGCTTCCCAGCCCACTCTGGTGACCAATACATGTATTTCAAAATGTGTGTCTCATACATTATTAGCTGCAGGTGAAAATGTGGATTTACAGAAAAGCATAAACTAGGAAGTCTTAATTTTTAAAAAAAGGGTCTTTTCAATAGGATTAACATCAACCTGCGAGATTTCCTTAGCAGTTTGCAAAATAAGGGATAAAAGGAGGAGTAATTTCTTTAAAGTATTCTGTAGTTTATGCTTTACATTAACTTACATAGGACTTTCACATAGTGAGTAGAAATAGAGAGACTTTATCAACTTATATTGTACGTACTGTGAGTAAATAGTTATTTTTTC